TGATTGACCAGTCAACCTGCTCCACATGAGTGCCATATATATGTACATGACGTGTACAATCCTGTACATGTGTAGGTCCTAACAAGGAGGTTTTTAAAAAATCTAGTCTTTGTCCACCAATACCTAGCTCACTGTAGGATGAATTCTAGCAAGGAGGTTATAACCTCTAACCTGGCTAACACTAAGAATAGAGTTTGGACATGGCTAAAAATTTAATAAACATTGATAACAACTTTTCAAACTCCATGGATAAACTCATCTATCATTAGCAGAATACCCCAGGGCTCAAAATATTTTTCACTGCATACCTGAACTGGTGCAGTAAACATTTAACCTGCACCAGACAAAGAAGAAAAATTTTGCTTGCACTTAGGCCACACCAAGTTAATTTATTGGTTAACGGATTCACCGCTTCATTTTTTTCTGATTTGCAAATAAAAATAAAAATTCAAAATCAACTGCAAAATGCTCATATTTTGCCCTGAACAGTTGAAAACAGTCCTTTCCTTACTACTTGTTACAGTCATTCCATCTTTCAATGCAATGGTATCATTAAAAGTTCAAAACAAGTAAAATCTGAGATTTTATACCTCCGGGCTTTTTATTGTATATTTTTCCATGTTGTTTGTTCTGTATAGTTGATGGTGTTGAATTTTATGTTAGATTTAGCGTTCCTGGTTGTGTTAATACAGGACTGGTCAACATTTTCATCTGCAGCCCATACCATGTACCCACGGTAAAATGCATGTCGAGAAGGTCTGAGACAGTATACCACGGTATTTGTAAGTTAAGAAGTCGTACTATACGCCGAAAACATCCAAGATTGCGCAAGAGGGCGTTGACCCCTGACCCATTGGCCCACCCGGAAGTTGCGCTGGCAGCCAGCCCAGCGCCGCGCGCGACGATTTTCAGATTTTTACGCCCCAAAACACATATACAATAAAAACAAAAAACCTGCACCATCTACAGCCCATTAGAAGAACATACACCGAGTCCAGTCTACCCCAACGCGAGATACAACTGCGATAATATTTCAAAATACATATCGGAAGCAGACACCCCTCTGTTTGACCCCTTTTAAATGGTAAGACCCAAAACTGAAACCTCCCCATTCCTGAACAACATGGTAAATTCCATTTTCAGCATGGCGGGGGTGTCCGGAGCACTTAAAAACCTTTTATTTCGACGCCCATAAACACATATACAATTAAACAAAAACGTTCTGCATCATCTGCAGCCCAATAGCAATACGTACACCGAACAACAGACTAATCCGTCCAGCCGATCGCGAGAAACAGCTGCTGACAGAAATGTTTCGAACAATAGTAAAACCTCCTCGCGGAAGGATGTCTCCTTCCCCGGAGGTAACAACATTGGCCAGAGGAGTTGGCCGGCCGTAGAGGGTCCAGCTTGCCTACCGGAGTCTGTGAGAAGTCGCTACGATGAAAGCGCATCAAATTAATCCGCTCATCTACAGAACAAGGACAGTAGCTTAGCACCTCAGAATAAAATCAGATCATTTAGCTTAATTAGGCCATAAACAACCCGGCGTGCAGGCTCCCGCGCCACCAAACCCCGCGGGGTCTCCCGGTGTGACTGTATACACAATGTGACATCGAGGCCACCGTGAGCAGGTCGCGAAGTCAGTACTAGCTAATTCAATCCTTGGGAACTAATATCAGCATCTCTGACATTCCTTGTACCAAATTGTAGCAGAAACAACCCAAATTTTCCCACGCAGACACGACGGGCCCTCCCCACTCGGTGCACATCGGCAGTGGAAATCAGGGATTGCAGCAATTTGCATGTTTCTTCGCGCCCATCTATCATCGCGAAGAAACATGCAAAAAGCTGCAATCCCTGATTTCCACTGTCCATTTTAAACGCCAGTCAGCCTGCTGAGGAAAGCATACATGCTTTATTGTTCTTCACTGATGTGCCCCTGTGATGGATCTTGTCGGAAGTTTGAGGAAAGTTTTTTTTCAGACAGCGCCCGGGCACGCTACCGAATAGTCCATTTCAAGGGAACAAATTGTCTATAACATCATAAAATATCTACCTTTCAATGAATATCAAACAGAATAGACTCTTCCATTTCCCAAATTGGCGATAGAACCGCCCGTGTTAGAAATCAACACAGAAGACACATTGTTTACGAGGTTTTACGAGGTTTTGCTTCAGAATGTTCCTGATTTTGTCGGTAATATAGGCCATATAGCCCCTTAGCAGGTATGTTTATTTTACAATTTCCATTGGGAAAGCGGAATATAATTGCCTTTTGACAAACCGTGGACAAGGTTGTCAGACCGTTACCTTTTCGTGTTTCAATAAGAGGCCTAAGTCCCGGCCGGTCACAGCTGACAGGCAAAGCAATAAACGGCTCACTCTGGTACTTCGTACCCATTTGTGGACATCAAAGAAGATAGCGACTTCTCACACGTAGTTCACAGCCATTGTTGTCCTCGATATAAAGCGATTATGCATTACAAAGAGAATTTTCGTAGGTAGGGCTTCCATTACTTTAGTTTGCAGCATGTGTATTGAGAATGGTATCTTCATAATTCTGCTGGCTGTTTGTAGAAGAAAGGCACAATAAAACAGTTTTCAATACCATCACGACTTAGCAGATAATATTTGATTTGATAACGCAATGAAGCCCACCGTTGACACAAATTGTAGCACTACGTAATCACAGAATGGCATGGTGAACGTCCTTGGTGAAAGTTATCGCTGCAGTTACAGACCAAGGCTGTTAGACATACATTGTACCGCATCCCCTTTCCGCTATTGCTTTGAACAGAAGCAGTGCTTCATTTTGTAACCGGAGTCCGAGAACAGAGCTGTCCTTGCTGTATGCCTGCTGGATATACAGTCTCTGTCGGTAATAAGAAGACTTAATTCAGAATACATACTTATCACCCCAGAACAATGAATAATCATGGCATACTTCAATGATACATGTTTATACTCAGTCACGTGCTGTTCTCCTTGGCTTAGAAATGCTCCATATTTTCTTTAGCCTTTAACTAGTTTAAGCCAAAGCCTTATATATCATTTGACCCTCTGTCATTTTTCTACATGACAGAATGGCTGATTCCGGAGATCCGTTTGCTGAAAGCCTGGTGCTGGCAAATGAAGTTAACAGCTCAACTCCAGCGCCAGCGCGACGTCAACGGCCACAGGAATCGCGTCGCCGGGCCAACCATTTCCGACGACCTGTATTGCTAATCACCAGCAATCAGCTAAACGCAAGACGTGCTCCAAGTGGCCGAAACGGGTTAATGTGTCGGCCTTCAATAAAAAACAATGACACGGCCGACGGATTATTCAGAACCATCATAGAGAAGCTTAGAGAGGTCGCTGGGGGACGTGCACAGCGCGCCATACTGGACTCGGCAACCCCGCAGTACGTATTACCTCAAGAATTAACAATGTGTAGAAATTTCACGTCATTGTATTTGCAAAAATGTAATTGCAAGCTTGCGGCAATTTGGTGTAATCATATATACCATAGTATTTTTCGAAACATAAAACTTCACCGTCATCCGTACGTCTGTCAAGGCCAATGCTGCCGTATAGGAACCGTTTTGTTTAGAATACCAGGCCAGACATGTGCCAAACATCTTTCAAACAAACGCGTATGTTTCTTGGTTTGTCGTGTACCCCATATATCTCTCTTTGATGGTTGCAGCTTCAAGTGCGTCAACTGCACATCAATGTAGCTCGTATACAAGAAACAACTTGATAAAAAGTGCAGCTTACTGATATGATAGTGATATTCTCCATTAATGTCCTTCAACTACATGTATGTCTCTCTTCTTTGTATTTTCAAGAAACGCTCGCCTGTACGAGTTTTCAACGCAGCAAGCCGGTTCACCATGGGTACGCATTGGCCGGGGATTTCCGACTGTAGCTGAACTTGGGAGGCGAACGGATAAGACGCTGTATCTGTATATCGGTAAGCAAAATTTATGTTTCAGGAACAGTCCGTTAATTCTAGTAGCCTCCTTTTCAGGCGTTTCCGGATCGGTCGTTTTTATCTCCGTGGAGATATATGTAGGGTTGCCGCGAACTGTTCTCTCAACGGACAAACTCCCTTGGCATGCTTATCTCTCTATTTGGCCGATTTCTACTCTTTCCAGCCGCCTCCCCAAGCCTGGTAGAGGCTAAGCCGGAGCTTCTATTGCGTGCGATCTACGTTTCATCAGAAATCCCCCCACCCCCCAAAAAAAACGACCGATCCAGGAAGGCCTGAAAAGGAGGCTAGTTTCTAAGGCGTTTAGTTGTTGTTCTAAAGCAGTCTATCTGGTTACTGAACCGTGTTGTACGTCCACTGATGTCCCCACGGCGGGGAGGGAACCAATGCCGGTAGTCGGGAGATTGTAAGAGTTTTCTGGCAAAAGTCAAGCAGAGGTGGTCTTGTCGTCGCTCCAAAGTCTCGAGGCCAGGTAGGAGACAGGCGTCAGCATAGTTAGTGTAGTATTTGCCAAGGATAGTTCTGACGGCACGACGTTGGATTCTCTCCAGCTGGTTACGTTGTGCTTGTGTAAGGCCTGGATGCCACACTGGTACTGCGTACTCACACACTGGTCGGATGTAGCTTGTGTAGATCGTAAGTCTTCTGTAGATACAAAGTAATCGGAAAGTCTTCAGTTTTCTGAGTATAGGAACAGCCTCATGCCGCCTTTCTTCACCATGTGGTCTACATGAGCGTCGACCCATCTGAGGTCTGCTTGCAGGTGCAAGCCCAGTAACTTTGGCACTTTCACTTCAAGTTCAAATCATCGACGAACTACCATCGATTTGATGTCGCGTTTTCAGCGGCGCTGTTTATCAAGTACCCGCGTAGGTTAAGCCTAGCTGGAAGTGCTGGAAGCTGAACTATGTTAATGCTTCAACTATCTGAGTATGAATATGTATGTGTATGTATGTTTATGAAAGCCAGGAAAACTAAAGGCCCCAAAACAGTCCCTCGGGGAGACCACATTTTGTCTCACTCCATTCCGAAAAAGAGTCCTTGTAACGCACCCGTATTTCTAACCATAATACATAGTAATAATTTTGACTCCATTTCCTTATATTAGTTATTACGACCAATTCACTCCAAATCAGGTGTTTTCTGCAGAGGTGACGAAGTGGTGAATCCATATTGTATTTTCTAGCAAACGGTGCCACACCAGTAAAGACATTTACCCTTATTTGAAAAGTGACAAGTCTATAGAAAAACGATGCAAATTATTTATTTTCGCATTCTTTTAGATCGCTCCACGGTGTTCGACTTTGACTCCGAAGATGATACTTTGGGAAGCGCGGTGGCGGAGCCCAATGGAAGCCGGCGGGCTGCGTCCGGCAGAGCCACCGACGAGGAGAACGAGCGGGCTGCGTCCGGCAGAGCCACCGACGAGGAGAACGAGCGGGCTGCGTCCGGCAGAGCCACCGACGAGGAGAACGAGCGGGCTGGGTCCGGCAGAGCCACCGACGAGGAGAACGAGCGGGCTGGGTCCGGTAGAGCCACCGACGAGGAGAACGAGCGGGCTGGGTCCGGCAGAGCCACCGACGAGGAGAACGAGCGGGCTGGGTCCGGCGGGGCAACCGACGAGTCAGATGAAGATCACATCATGGAATCGTTACCTTCGCCGAGAAGGTTATGGGAGGATGACGTGGACGTGGACGTGGAAGATGCGGAGAGGTATTCTGAAGGTCAAACTTGTAAGTAAACAACTACAACAGCTTAGCAGTTATCCTTTTCTTTTCATTAAATTTGTAGTCATCATTGTCTATCACTGATGTACATGTAAGAGGTATATGCATTACACTCATTGGTTACACCAATTACACTGCAAATTTCTCTTCAATTTTCCCTCAATAGCTTTCTGGTACCAAGACATGACTCAGGAGGACTGGGTGGCAACAACATCTTCGACAGGTATGTGCCCAAGTTATAAGTAGTCTAGATACGATGCATGCTATTAAGAATTATATACCTCTTGGAAGAGCTTAAAAAATATGTTTTAAGGACTAAATGAGCTGAAGAAGCCAAATCAGTTTTGTAACCTGTTGACATCAGGATACCTGTGGCAGACTAGTGTAGTTTTATTGACCTTTGGAAAAGCGCGTTCAAAGGATCAGTAACTCGATAAACATTCAGTTATGATTTGTTGTGTTAATGTTAATGTTGTCGTTTTGTACTGGTTGGCAGATGTAGAGCTCACCCAAGATGACAACATGTCGGGGCTGGATGTGCCAGCTGAGGGTAAGTGTTCACCTTTCGTTAGTTTTGTTATAAACACGTTGGCTGACATGCGTGCAACTGTTCCTACAGCTGTACTAGGCAGTCTTCAAAATATTTTCTTGTTCTTTTCTCATTAGGCGGGCTTCTTGGGCGGATCCCCCGAGCTCTGAGGCTGCAGACCATCATGCAGGAGATTGCAGGGTCCAACGCGTGCCCGTTTGTGTGGCCGTTGCCATTCCGTCAGGTAAGAAATACTAGTATTTAAGGGAATCTTCATTCGGCTAACAATTTCATGCCTACTCCGTGTCATCTGCTGTCTCTATCACATGCTTTTATTAGTCGAGTTACAGAGATAGCCAAACTGTTTTTAGGTCGGTGTCGACGTACAATTTCTAGAAAATCCACTGTCAATTCAGCAGACGAAACTCTCGCGTGTAGAGATAGGAAGAACATGTTGACATCGCTGCCTATTCCCAATGCACTAATCATCCGAGGTTGTGCGACTCCTGATACGTGACCAAAAGGATAACTTCTCATCTCTTCTCACCTCTAAGACTATGCCATATCTCAAGGGACTACAGATTAGTTTCAACAGGCGGTATCTGTTTGGTATTCATTATTGTCACGTATTGTTTGCAGATATGTGCACAGGCCTGGGCAGATGAAAGGCTGCTGTTAATCTGCCAGGTGAACTCTCGCACGCGGGCACCCTTGCAGTCTCTGATAGGGTATGTTTTGCTCAAGTCTTTGTCAATATACTAAAGTGTGTGATTGTTGTACAAAGGCTTTTTCATGGAACAAACTGTGCCTCCATACTTAATCATTCCGTATTTTGATTTTCAGTGACATCGTAAATGCCATTTCAACAGACCAGATATACTTCTGGCCCTATCAGCCTGACACCTCGGACGCCGAGGAAGGTTCGCAACATTTCTTTGTTAACATGGTAGTTGTATGTATCGTGGCATAAGACGCATAAGGCTATAAACCTTTGATCCTAAACCTTGTCTCTTCTCAACTCATCACAGAGAAGGGAGGAAAAGTCTAAATCTTTAAATTAATGGCGCTACACTGCTTGTGCTAGACTGATCGCGTATAACTCATTACTTAATTAATGGTGATTTGTTTTCTGTCAACAGTATCGAGGTTGCACCCCCCGAGGGCACCAGACTTCATGCTGCTGGTCCCTGGGACAGGCAGAGTCATGACGCCTCTGCATACATGGACAGGTAGGCTTATAGAAATTGTGCCATAGTCTCTGAATACCACCCTGGTTAGTCTAAGCTTTTGTGACACATCCAGAACCTTACCCTGAACATCAGCCGAGAAATTTGGGCTAAATTTTGTGGGCAGGCTTACCAGATTTGGGCCATGCCTACCTTTCTAGACAAAGCAAATAGAATTTGACTTATATTTTGCCTCAAATTTACCTTCTAAACAGTTACACCAGACAACTATTGCCAACTATTGGTAGGCACTGGTACCCAGGCTAGAATCTAACTGCCTATAGTGTGCAATGAGTATAATTTCCATATGACTAAGATGTTGATGTATATTTACCCACTCCTCGCTTTTGTCACAGATGCAGTGCCCACTGCCATTGTGTTCCGAGACTTCCTCCTCAGTGGGAGAAGGATTTTGTCCGACATCAGGACTGAAAGGTACGGGCTCGTAGTGTACACATTTATTTTCTTTTTTTTTCTACCTCGCACGAACCAAATTTTAAAGTATCGATTATTCATCGAGAATGAAGGCAAACAAAATACACTGGAAACTAGAATGAAAGTAATCCTTCACTGGCTAAATAATAAGTATATACACCATACTCATTGTTTATTGGATAATTGTTCATGTTTTCTTTAGGTTACAAAATCATTTAGTATTACTACACATAACATTTATTGTCATTTCATAATTTGTCTTAAAACTTTCTTTATGACCATTAAAGGGCAGAAATCCTAGAGCGAAGGCGGATTATAGAAGAACAAAACAACGCCCTTGCAGAATCAGAAAGACTAGACAAGAGCGTCACGACCACAGCAGCAGCAACGACCACAACTGCAACAACGGTGGCACCAACAACTACACCAGCAGCAGAAACAACAACTACCCCAGCAGCAGAAACAACAACTACACCAGCAGTAGAAACTACAACTACCCCAGCAGCAAAAACAACAACTACACAAGCAACGGGAACAACAACTACCCCAGCAGCAGAAACAACAACTACACCAGCAGCAGAAACAACAACTACACCAGCAGCAGAAACTACAACTACACCAGCAGCAAAAACAACAACTACACCAGCAGCAGAAACAACAACTACACCAACAACAACGACAACAACACCACTAGCAGCAGCAGTAGCAGTTCCAGCACAAACAACTACAGCAACAACACCGGTGGCAGAAACAACAACACCAGGAATAACAACAACGACAGCAGCAGCAGCAACAACGACTGCAGCAGCAACGACGACAGCAGCAGCAACAACTGCAGCGACGAGAACAACACCAGTAGCAGTAGCAGCACCAAGAACAACAAAAACAACAACATCGCCAGTAGCAGCAGCAGCAACAACAAACCACGAAATCACAACAACACAAGAAACTGTTAGACAGTCATGGGCCGACAGATACCCCATCCACGATAACACCTCGGCTGCCAACACCAACTACACCTCGGCTGCCATTCCCAACGCCACCCAAGCTACCAACACCAACTACACCTCGGCTGCCATTCCCAACGCCACCCAAGCTACCAACACCAACTACACCTCGGCTGCCATTCCCAACGCCACCCAAACAACCAACACCAACTACACCTCGGCTGCCATTCCCAACGCCACCCAAGCTACCAACGCCAACTACACCTCGGCTGCCATTCCCAACGCCACCCAAGCTACCAACTACCGGACATTCACCAACCAACGCAGGTTATTGCCACAGGGTAAGTACAGACATGAATGTGTTCCCAGACCAGTCTGTAAACTTTTTGTTAACCACGCATTCCAAATAACTGAAGTCTATCGTTTGTTAAGTTAGGTGAGAAGGTAACTTTCTGGTATCATTTCAAACAAGACTTTTGCGACTTGCTGGAATACCATATGACAAAAGAAGACGTGAACTGATATGTAAAAAAATCTACAAACTTCCGAATGACTTTTATTTACAGGTGCCACAGCTACAGGTCAGCGACAGTTCCAGGTCGGCCTACCAGATGTCCCACGTCCCTACCTACCTGCCTACGCCCTCCCACGTCTCCACGGCCGCCGACTTGTTCCAACCCATTTCAACAGTCACTTCAGACACCCACCATATCCACCACCAAGACGTCTCCGACCTAGAAACCCATTTGCACGACCACGGTTTACATTCTTCCCATCTAACAACTAGCATCTGCTTGGAGAATAAGTTGTGAGACCAATGCATCCTTACATTACAGTGTACAGCTTGCATATTGAGTAGATGTGTAGATATGCCTGCATGATAGCCTATACAGACCTGTTCTCGCAGAGGGCCTCGAAATTCCAGGCAGTCCTCATAGCTTAACCCCCTCCCTGCTGCCTAATACTGTATACATTGTACAAAGTGGTGCCACTAAGGGATATCTTAGTAGAAAAAGGGTTAATTTGATAGTATATTAGCCAGCATGCTACCCAGGATCGCCTTTTGGGGCGGGGGAGGGGGTATTTTCTGATGAAACGTAGATCGCACGCAACCCTACACAGCCATTCCTTTGACAACCAGAGCTTTTATTGCATGCGACCTACGTTTCGTCAGAAATTACCCCCCATCGAAAAAAACTTGACCCCCATACTAAAAACAAGTGACACAATGGTTAAGATAGTAGTGCTGCTTTTGTTTCATGTATTTATTAATAAAAGACTGTGAGATTAGTTTTTATTTGTCTGTTGTTGTTGTTTCTTTTGTAGACCAACTTAAGAGTTCTGGTAAGGTAAAACCCAAAAGTAGTTGTCTGTCTATTGTTGTCCGTTCCCTGAACTACGCCGTACTTCAGTCGGAGTCCGGACTGTTCTATTCCGCTTTAGGGGGTAAACTTTATTAGCCTAACAAATTACCCATGAAATCCGTGTAGTTTATAAAAAACAAAAACAAATGTTCTTTGTACAAAAGTATTTTAATCTTTAATAATGATTTTAAAATTACCTGAAGTGACCAGCGCCTGTATCATATTTCTTATCTCTGAGCAGATCTTTCGGGGCAAAATCGCACAAAACTGTAAACATATGTTGTGCCTGAGCTGGTATTTACACAATGGAATGTTAGTTTCTCAAATGGTTGTATTGCCAGGCTAGCATATCTGTTCTTTCTACCCACAATGTCCTATAGAACTGACTCATATCGCTTAAGACACACACAGAGGCACAGCTAATAATAATAAGAAAGATCTTCAAAGAAGTCGTCAACCGTACCACCCCTCACCCCCATGCAGACCCTTTTTCGCCACGCCGTAGTTCAGATCAGCTGAACTACGCCGTACTTGAGCCACGCCGTACTTCAGCTGCTACGCCGTACTTCAGCCACGTAGTTAGGTACGCCGTAGTTGATTGCGAAATACGACGTCCTTTTTTTGGCTGAAGTACGCCGTATTTGGTTAACTTAACCGTATCTGATCCAGTTTGGTGAACTACGCCGTACTTTCCTGAACTACGCCGTAGTTGGCTGAACTACGCCGTAGTTGGCTGTAATACGTCGTAGTTGAGTTTTGACCGTAATAGAAAGCCATAGACCTCCCTCTCTAAATCTCCCCTCTGGTCTGACCTAGCCCTCACACTCTTGGGCCAAACTGGTACAAACGATTGGATTCCATCACACACGTTCAAAGAAAAAAGATAAAATCCATGGGTAAATCTACGACACTCTCTTACTTCCGGGTCGGCTTCGTAACCGGCCACGAAAATCAGACAAATTCAGTGAAAAACCTCCTGTTTTCCTGATTAAAAACGTACCTGCAGTGCAGAGTAGCTTTCGTCAGCATGTTGGAACTCCAAACGCCGTTACATCACTCCCAAACAAGTGCTTCTGCAAAAGCTGACCATTTTCGTCCGCTTACAGGCTTACAGTTTTTACGAACATTTCCCATCCTAGCATTTCAATTTACCTAAGTTATATAAATGGTTCTAGTTCTCATCAACATTGTATATAATGAGAGAACATGCACTTCTATATTTCAACTCTTTAAGTTCAAAACATTACAAAAATCAAGTATATAACAGTTTATAACCTGTTTTCTCTCTTTTAAGAGTCTTTTTAACAGAATAAAAAAATGAGACACAAAGTACATTTTAACTTAAATTATAAGTAACGTTAATATATATATATATAATAATTTTATTCAAAATCTCTTCTATGGCTTTGTCCCCAACATCT